TTCGTGCTCGTCGACTTCCCAGAACTCATTCCCGGCGTACATTTTGGATGCCCGGAGCCAACTGTAGGCCACTTCGTGGTCTTCGAGTTCCCAGAACTCCATTCCCGGGCCACATTTTGGATGCCCGGAGCCAACTGTAGGCCACTTCTTGGTCTTCGAGTTCCCAGAACTCCATTCCCGGGCCACATTTTGAATGTCTGGAGCCAACTGTAGGCCACTTCGTGGTCTTCGAGTTCCCAGAACTCCATTCCCGGGCCACATTTTGAATGCCCGGAGCCAACTGTAGGCCACTTCGTAGTCTTCGAGTTCCCAGAACTCCATTCCTGGGCATGATTTTGAATGCCCGGAGCCAACTGTAGTCCACTTCGTGGTCGTCGAGTTCCCAGAACTGCATTCCTGGGCATGATTTTGAATGCCCGGAGCCAACTGTAGGCCACTTCGTGTTCTTCGAGTTCCCAGAACTCCATTCCTAGGCCACATTTTGAATGCTGAGGCAGGCTGATGCTGCGGCCGAGGCAGGCTGAGGCTGAGGCAGGCTGAGGCTGAGGCCGAGGCTGAAGGCAGACTGAGGCTGAGGCTGAAGCAGACTGCGGCTGAGGCTGAGGTAGGCTGAGGCTGAGGCTGAAGCAGGCTGATGCTGAGGCAGGCTGAGGCTGAGGCTGAGGCTGATGCAGGCTGAGGCTGAGGCAGGCTGAGGCTGAGGCCGAGGCTGAAGGCAGACTGAGGCTGAGGCTGAAGCAGGCTGAGGCTGAGGCTGAGGCAGGCTGAGGCTGAGGCAGGCTGAGGCTGAGGCTGAGGCAGGCTGAGGCTGAGGCTGTGACTGCGACTGCCGTTGCCACTGCGACTGTCATCGCGAATGCGACTACGACTGCGAGAACAGCAGAATTCTACAACTGGATTTTCATCTGAATCTTAAGGGGAATGCTTTCAGATATGCTTCTACACATCGCTGTTAGGTTGCTTTGCCGGGATAATTTACCTAACAGCTTGTTCTGATAGGTTTCTAGTGGTGTCAAAAGAGAGCAGCAGATGACTCCACAGGGGGGTCTGGGCGGGTGCCGGACAGGGTGCCGCAGAAGTCGTTTTAAGCCAACAGTCACACACTTCGTGCTCTTCGACCTCCCAGAACTCCATTCCCGGGCCACATTCTGAATGCCCGGAGCCAACTGTAGGCCACTTCGTGCTCTTCGACTTCCCAGAACTCCATTCCCGGGCCACATTTTGAATGCCCGGAGCCAACTGTAGGCCACTTCGTGGTCTTCGAGTTCCCAGAACTCCATTCCCGGGCCACATTTTGAATGCCCGGAGCCAACTGTAGGCCACTTCGTGCTCTTCGAGTTCCCAGAACTCCATTCCCGGGCCACATTTTGGATGCCCGGAGCCAACTGTAGGCCACTTCGTGGTCTTCGAGTCCCAGAACTCCATTCCCGGGCCACATTTTGGATGCCCGGAGCCAACTGTAGGCCACTTCGTGGTCTTCGAGTTCCCAGAACTCCATTCCTGGGCATGATTTTGAATGCCCGGAGCCAACTGTAGGCCACTTCGTGTTCTTCGAGTTCCAGAACTCCATTCCCGGGCCACATTTTGAATGCTGAGGCAGGCTGAGGCTGAGGCTGAGGCAGGCTGATGCTGAGGCAGGCTGAGGCTGAGGCTGAGGCTGATGCAGGCTGAGGCTGAGGCAGGCTGAGGCTGAGGCCGAGGCTGAAGGCAGACTGAGGCTGAGGCTGAAGCAGGCTGAGGCTGAGGCTGAGGCAGGCTGAGGCTGAGGCAGGCTGAGGCTGAGGCTGAGGCAGGCTGAGGCTGAGGCTGTGTCTGTGACTGCCGTTGCCACTGCGACTGTCATCGCGAATGCGACTACGACTGCGAGAACAGCACAATTCTACAACTGGATTCTCATCTGAATCTTAAGGGGAATGCTTCCAGATATGCTCCTACACATCGCTGTTAGGTTGCTTTGCCGGGATAATTTTTCTACGGCTCCGATTCCAGCTCCGATCCTGGAGCCGTTTTTGTTACTGTTTCTGGTTGCGCCTTGAAACACAACAAAAACGCTTCAATGTTCAAGAGACGCTTTTTCGACAGTGAGAAGACGGCCCTGCCGTTTGCAGGGCCCACGAAGCGCTATCCACATCCCAGCTCCCAGGCGTCTACGTTCCCGGGCCCAAAGCGTGTCTGATGACGATTTGTCACGCTCGTTTGATTTGTTTGGCTGTTTTGGTGTATTTGTCGATTTGTTTTATTTTTCCAGATTCCGCCAATAGGAGGACATGCTTGACCTAAGCAAGGAGACAACCCGCATAGCAAGGACGAACAACTTTCCAAGGCTACCCCAAATCCCTTATTAATCGACCCCTCACTAAAGAACCGTCCTCCCCTCCAAATGCGACCTAATATTCCAGACCCCCCTCTTCGACGGGGCGCCTTCAGAAACCGGACCCCTTAAGCTCCGATCGGGGACCACCCCGTGCGAGCGGAGAGTCCCGCTCGGAGGGGCTGGCCCGAGGGCGCCTCCCGGTGCCTCGGCAGCTGAGATGCCGAAGCCGGAGCTGAAGTGCACGGAGAGGGGAACAAGCGATGACATAAGCATGAAAATTCGGACGTCCGCGCGGATTTCTCGGATCGGCGCTGGACCCCCCTCCATGGAGCGCTGAGCGCGCCATGGGGCGGCGCCGGAGGCGCCGCCAGGGCGGTCCAGCGCCGATCCGAGGAATCCGCGCGGACCTCGGATTTGTGCGGTTTATGTCATTGTTCGTTCCCCAATAAGGAGGATGAGGGAGGAGAGGGAGGAGGAGGAGGAGAGAAGGAGGAGGAGGAGGAGGAGGGAGGCAGGAGGAGGAGGAGGAGGAGGAGGAGGAGGAGGAGGAGGAGGAGGAGAGGAGGAGGAGGAGGAGGAGGAGGAGGAGGAGGAGGAGGAGGAGGAGGAGGAGGAGGAGGGAGGAGGAGGAGGAGGAGGAGGAGGAGGAGGAGGAGGAGGAGGAGGAGGAGGAGGAGGAGGAGGAGGAGGAGGAGGAGGAGGAGGAGGAGGAGGAGAGGGAGGAGGAGGAGGAGGAGGAGGGAGGGAGGAGGAGGAGGGAGAGGAGGAGGAGGCTCCGTAGCCATTTTGGCTCAAGTCCGTAGCGTTTCGCTCAGGGCCTTGACCTTGTGGTGTGGGGGACTTTGCGGCCCCCGTCTGCTTTCCTGGCTGTGTGCCAGGTACTTCCAGCATTACGTCTCGTGTACGGAATCTTCCTCTCTGTACATTCTCTCGATGGTACCAAACCCTTCTGCTCGCTTTGCGAATGCTCCGTGGGCGCACTCAGGAACCAGTCAGGGCGAAGGAGGGGGTTGGACGCTCAAAGGGAAAGGGAGGAAGCCGCCAGCGACAGGATTTGCCTGTCCTACATGTGGGTGTCGTCGCAACTCGCCCGAAGCCGTTTCGTGCAAGCATTGCGGCAACTTTCTTCCACGCATGTCTGCGGGTGCTTATCCTGGTCCACTTACTGGCAGTTCGTGGGCTATGTCGGCTCCCCCTGGATGCTGGGCTGGTTTCAAGGGCCACAGTGGGAAAGGCGGCGGCGGCAAAGATGTACGAGGCAAAGGTGGCAAACTCGGCGCTGGCAAGGGATATTCGGACTCGAGCTGGTTCGGCTGGTCGGACATGCCCCCGAAGTCCAAGCACTTTCCTGCGCATGGTGATGGGTCAGCTGGAGGTGGATCCCCGCCTCTTCCTGCAGGCCCTGTACCTACAGTCACCGCTGCAGAAGCTCGTCAACTGTCAGAGCTGTCCAACAAGGCGGGGGACAAGTTGGCAGCACAGCGCTATGACCTCATGGCGAAGCACCTGGAGGTTGCAGACAAGCCGCCACCTGAGCTGTCGGCACATGCCCAGATGCAGAAGGCTCACAGGGACGTTCAGCAGCTTGAGTCTCGAGCTGAAAAGGATTTGCAGCGCCTCGCGAAGGCCAAAGAGCATGTCGCCGAGCTGGAGCTGTCGCTTCGTTAGACTCGAGACCGTCTCAAGCTGGCGGACAAGGAGTACAAGGCTGCGCTGGTCAAGCTGCAGGCTGCGAAGGTCGAGCCCCAGATGCAGTCAGCCACGCTCAAGCTGGGTGACCTCGTCTCGGGCAAGTTCAGCATCGAGTCCTTCATCAACTGCGACGACCTCCTCGAGGACTTTGCGGCAGGAGAGGTTGAGCTGGAGGAAGCTGACAGGAAGCAAGGAGGCTAGAGCCGCGCATGAGGCTCACAATCTGCGTCTGGCAGCAAAGAAGCGCCGTCTTGCCGAGGGTGGTGAAGCTGCTGCTGGAGGTGCGGCAGCTGGAGCAGCATCGAGTGCATCCTCTGAGCCACTGTCTGAGCCTGCTGGCACTGGCAGCACGGCGCCCGCCCCTGCAGGCGAGCATTCTAAGGCAGAGTTTCGTGCCAGGGTTGATGGGGCCTTGGACGACTGAGGGCCCCCCCCTGGCGTTCTCGCCCAGGGGAGTGGCCCAACGTTGTCTCCGAACGAGACCCAGGCTCGAAGTTTACCTGGGAGCTGTATAACTTTTTAGCGTCTCGTGCTTCGGTGATCGGCTCCAGGGCCCAAGCCACGGGCATCAGACTTTTTAGGCGCATTCAGGTTGCGCCTGGAGTTTTGCAGGGAAAGCGTTTCTTTTCAGCCCCTCTGTTTCCAGATGAAATTCGAATGCCCCCAGGGACCCACGGTGTGGAATCTGTTGCTCGGTTGCCGCTGCCTGACGCGTCACGGCAGCACCCGTCAGCTGCCAACTTCGTCATCTCGTCCAGCCAGCCCCTCAGCGAGTTGGAGCTGGACGCACGGTTGCTACAATCCGAATCATTATCTTTTGCGTCGCCGTCAAGCTCGGTTGGGGCGCGGCACTGCAGGTCTGCTTATCGCGGTGGACCTCCGGTTGCTTCAGCCTCGGCCCCAGCAGGGGGCGCTCATTTACCATGCATTTCTTTATCCGAAGGGCTGAAAGTCGCGACGGTCAACGCGAATTCCTGGGGCGCGCTTAAGACCTACTTGGAATCCTCTGACTCGCACATCGTCCTTGCCCAGGAGCATCGGATTCGGGATCAGCTGCCGATTGACCAGGCATCCAAGTCTTCGCTTTTCATCGGCTGGAAAAGCATATGGGCGCCTGGGGTGCCTGGAGAAGCTGGAGGAGTCAGCGGTGGGGTTGCTGTTCTGGCTCGCTGTGGTTTCGGAGTTCTTGCGAATGAGAAGTGCGTCTTGTTCGACGGGCGCACGGTCGCGGCCATGGTGCGCGTTCCTGGTTGCGTTCCGTTGTGCGTCTGCTCCCTCTATCTTTTCCACAGCCAAGGTTTTTCGGAAGCTATTTTGGAGATCTCGAGCGCTGTTGGGGGATTTCTTGAGGGAGTCGGTTGTGAGTTCATTGTGGGGGCCGACTGGAACTTCGGTCCCGGGGACCTCGAGAGGTCCGACTTCTGCAAGAAAATTGGGGCGTCGGTGATCAGCACCTGTGGCCACACCCACTTCCCTAGCGCGGGCCCCCCTGAACGTTTTGATTATTTTGTTCTCTCGGAGGCCCTTGGACTTTGCTTGAGGGGAGTGGAGGTCACCGAAGACTCCCCCCTTGCCCCCCATCGCCCTGCCACGCTGCAGTTTCGCATTTCTCTCGGCGACCTTAAGGCTCTCGCCTTCCGTCGCCCCCCCGACCTTCCTGTGGAGGCCCCTGTGGGACCTGCTCAGTGCCCTGGGGATTGGGATGGTGCTCTGAGGCTCGCCCAAGAAGCTTTTCACGCCATGAACGTTGGGGGCGCTCGGAGGGCTCGCAGGCTTCTTAGTCCTGGCTACAAGGCGTGGGCGGACCCGGCTGAACGCGACTTGGCGGACGTTCTGGGTGTCGCAGTCCCCACCATTGGGGCTAGGGGGAAAAGACCCCAACTTGATTGGAAGTCTGTTCTGACGCCTGCGGGCAGAGTCAAGGACCTGCACGTGCGCAGCATAGCGTGGCTTCTCAACCAGCTTCGAGCTGTCAGGTGCTATCTTGGAGACTCTTTGCAGACTGGAGGTCGCCAGGTTGTTGAGGCACTTGAGCATCCTCCTACTTCGGTGACGGTTGCCGCAGACCCCGAGTGGAGCATGTATTTCGCGTCTGTCGCCAGCTTAGCCCGCGCCATTCATGCTGACAGCGACGATCCCGTGGTCCATGCCAATCTCGAGATTGTAATCTCGGATCTGGCGGATGCTGCTCAGTCGGCCAAGGCGGCGTGTGCTAAGGCCTCGAGGAAGGGCTGGCACGACTGGCTGCGCCAGGGGCTCGAAAAAAGGGTGGAAAAAAAACGTTCAGAAGGCCATCGGAGAGCCAATCGCTTCGGCCCCGACCGCCACCCTCTCTCCTTGTGGAATCATTGTTGCGGGTCCTGTGAGTCTCCTCAAGGCTGAGGCGGACAAGTTTAGTGACACCTGGCAGCAAGGCAGTGGTCTTGCGGATTTCTGCAAAGGTGAAGGCAACGGCATCTTGCCTCCCTCGCCTCTCCCCGAGCCTTCTGAGATCCGTGCTGTGTCTAAAAAGTGCAGGCCTGCCTCGGCTGCCAGTGTGGACGGGTTCCACTGTCGACGCTTTGCCTTGCTCCCCGACGTTGCGCTCCATGCGATGGCGTTGTGGTTTGCGGTTATGGAAGGCGCGGGGGCTCTCCCCACCCAGATCGCTCGGGTCCTTCTGGCCCTCCTGAACAAGCCCTCTGGAGGCTTCCGACCGATCGGTGTTTTTCCGAGCTGGTATCGGGTTTGGGGCCGTTGTAGAAGAGGCGCAGCTCTTAGGTGGGAGCTGCCCTACAAGAGGGACTACTGGGCGGCTGGAGCCTTCCGAGGAGCTGGTGACGCTGTCTGGAGACAGGCCCTTAGGGCTGAAAGTGGGGCCCTGCTGGGCCAGTGCACGGCTTCGGTTTTTGGGGACTTAAGGAAGTACTACGAGCACATTGATCTGGAGTTCTTATGACAGAAATGCCTTCAACATAGATTCCCCGCCTGCCTTGCCAGGTTGGCCATTCAGGCTTACTCGGCGGCTCGTTACATGGCTCTCGGGGGTATGGTTGAATGCCCTTTCTTCTTTAGGAAGGGCATTGTGGCGGGGTGTTCCTTTGCCACTAGCTTGACCAGAGCGTTTGCTATGGAGGCCTTCGACGGTATCCCGCGAGACCAGGACGGTGCTACTTCGATGCGTACATAGACGACCTCAGTCTGAATGCCACGGCCTCAGCAAAGGAGGTCACCGGAGTTATTTGACGTGGGGCACGTGCTCTACATGCGGCTGTCACCCGCGCCCTGCATTGCAAGCTTGCCATGGACAAGATAGGCACGGTTAGCAGCAGCAGCTTTGTTGCTCACATGGACAAGAGGAGTCTCTTGGCAGCCTGGTTGGCGCAGCTTGCACGAGGGTCACCAACCTCGGCGCGGATTTCACTGCTGGTAGGCCTGTGCGAGCAGGGAAAGGCAGGTCTGCAAAAATGAAGGCTCGTGCTGCTGCTGCTGCTTTGCGGACAACCCGGCGTCTGCAAGGCCTTGGAGAGGCCCTGGGCCGAAAGGCCTTTCGGGTTTTTGCTGCGGGTCCCCTGGCTGGAGCCGTGCATGGCTCGGACCTCTATGGGGCCTCGGATTCGGAGCTCCTTAGCTTGCGAAGGATGGCCATGTCCTGCATTAAGCCGAGAGCTCAGGGCAGGTCCTTGCGCGTGCTTTTCTTTGCTCGAAGGGGATCCGACTTGGAGGGGCAGCTGTGCCCCGATTTGGATTTTGAGAACCAATGCCTTCCCTTGGTCGCTCTCGTGGTCCGAAATGCGTGAGGGGTGGAACGCGGTGCTCTCTTCGGACAACTGGTCTTGGGCCAAGGTCCCGGGCCCGATTTCGGTCCCGGGGATGACCTTATACTGATTGGGGTGGACCATGTCGGATTTTTGCACCATCGTCGACGACCTTGGTCGCGAAATCTTTCTCACTCTCTCCAGCCCTCAGCTCGTCGAGGTTGTTTGTAAGGAAGCTGTTTTTCGCTCCCTGGAGCGGATCTCTGGAGACACCTACGGGGTGGGGGCTCGGCTGTGTTGGGACGTGCCCAAGAATATCCTGGGGTCCAAAGGGTCAGGACTAAGGGTTGGGTCAGAGCCTTAGCGACTTTGGCGCGTTGGACTGCAGGTGACGTGGCGTATGCAGGCTAATTATTTCCTGATCGGTGTCAGCTTTGCGGCAATGCCAGAGACACTCTGTTTCACCGTCTTTATGGATGCCCTGCTGTGCAGCAGGAACGCGATGCAGTTCTCCCCATGTGGCTCCAAGAGGAAGCCCGCCAAGCTGGCCCTGACTCTGAGGATGGAGTGTTATTCTTACATGGGGCTCTGAGGCATCCAGGAGATCTCGCTCCTCCGCCTGCTACGAGTACTGGGGTCGTCTACGATTGGTATACGGATTTGCTGCCTGACCCGTCAGATGCCGCTGCTCCTCCCTCCATTCCTCCGACCGATGGGATCTGGGGGCACCTGTTCATGGACGGCTCGTGCCGCCGCCACGCTGTTCGAGAGTTGTCTAGGGCTGGTTGGGCCGTGGTCATAGTCTCTCAGGCTGGGGAGCGCCTTGGGGTTTTCAAAGGTCCTCTTTGGGCCCCTTGGCCCCGGACCCCTCAAGGCTCTGAATTTGGGGCCCTGGCCTGGACGAGGCTTTACTCGGAAGGCCCCTCTGACTGCTATTCAGACTGCAGTAATGTGGTGAGTTTAATGAACCTTAGAGAGGCGGATGCCATCTCTGGGAAGCGTCAGTACGCTGGCCTCGTCAACCAAGCGCGCCAGCACTTTGGGTCTAATGTTTCTTCTTTTGTGAAGGCTGCAGCTCACCGTGACCTCGATGAAGAGGGGCTCAGCGCGCGAGAGAGGTTCTTGCGTGTTGGGAACCACTACGCCGACGTCGCGGCCAAGGAAGCTGTGTTGCTTCACCCTAGCTGGTCCCCCTTCTGAAGAGGAAGACCTGCAGAGACTGCTTAAGGTTGCGCGTCTCGTCTTGTTGGCTGGAGCGGAGCTCCTGCCGCTGTGGCCCAAGCTGGAGTCCCGAGGCCTACAGCGTGCCCCTAGGCCCCAGTCCTCGGACGCTCCCTTGCTTGAAGTTTGCCACGACTGGACCAAGCAGGGAAACACGTGGCGTTGTAGAGTCTACCTTCGTGGATCCCGTGCCGAGTCCAAATCGATTGGTGGAGGTTGCCCTGGGACCTGCCCGTTGGACCAAGGGGTCCTGGAGTCCAAGGGTCACCGTGTCATTTCGTTTCCTTGCAGTGACAAGAGTCACCTGTTTGTGTGCATGTCGTGCAAGTTTTACAGCAGTGGAGGTCAAGTGATAGGCCTGGGTCGCAAATGTTGACACCCGACGGAGACTGGCTTGAAGAATATTCGCAAGCTCCGCAAGGGCCTCCACCCTGACAAAAAGGGCGTTTCTGCTGACATTGATGAATTCATCCCTCTGCTCTAATTGCAGGTGAATCCTTTTCTGTTGCATCAGTGCTTCTCTGACTGCTGTTGCAGTATACTGTTCAGGGGTATGTGCGTCGCTGCCAAAAAAGAGGATGAGGAGGAGGGGCAGGAGGAGGAGGAGCAGGAGGAGGACGGGAAGGAGGGGGAAGAGGAGGAGGAAGAGGAGGAGCAGGAAGAGGAGGAGAAGGAGAAGGAGGAGGAGGAGGAGGAGGAAGAGGAGGAGGAGGGGGGGAGGAGGGGGTGGAGGACGGGAAGGAGGGGGAAAAGCAGGAGGAGGAGATGATGATGATGATGATGATGATGATGATTGATGATGATGATGATGATGATGATGATGATGATGATGATGATGAGGAGGAGGAGGAGGAGGAGGAGGAGGAGGAGGAGGAGAGGAGGAGGAAGAGGAGGAGGAGGAGGAAGAGGAGGAGGAGGAGGAGGAGGAGGAGGTGAGGAGGAGGAGGAGGAAGAGGAGGAGGAGGAGGAGGAGGAGGGAGAAGGAGGAGGGAGGGGGCCCACCCTGCAGGCTCGGCAGACAGCACAAAGCTGGGACACGCCAGGGGCGAGGGGCGGCCGCGCGGCGAGGGGCGACGACCGGCCCTGGAGCAGCGGGCGGGGGGGCGGGGGCGATGGGCAGATGTCCCGCCACCGCCACCATATGCAGGACTTGGGAGAAGGGAGGATGAGGAGGCCCTCCTCTGCCTCCTCCTCCTCCTCCTCCTCGTCCTCCTCCTCCTCCTCCTTGTCCTCCTCCTCCTCCGCCTCCTCCTCCTCCCTCTCCTACCTATGGCAGCGGTGGTGGACAATGGGCCCATTAGGGGGGGGGCGCCTCACGCCGCGCCTCGCCGCCTCCCGACCCGCGAGGCTTCCGCGCCGCTGCCTGGCCCGCCGCGCGTCACGGCGCTGCCGCCCCCGGAGCTCGAGGACGCCGAGGGGGGCCGTTCGACGGGGGCCCATGCAATCGTGAAGTCGGGCATTTCCCACTACAGAGGGAATATGCAAAAACATTATATGTTTGTTGTGTTTTGTTTTGATCAAAAAACGGACATCACAAAACACAGTCAGGGACGATGTTTTGACAAGTTTCGATTCCTTTTGAAAAATGTTTGACCATTGTGTCTTTCACCCAGAATCCGCCTGTAGGAGAACATGCCCGGCCTGATGCAAGCGGGGTTCAGTCAGAGCGCCGGATCCTGCAGGATCCTGCCGATCCAGGAGTGCACTGGCCCGAGCTAAGGACCCTGCAGGATCCTGCTGGATACGTGCAGGACTCTGCAACAACCCGACGGAGCCAGGTTTGGGTTTTCCGGGGTCAGTAGATCAACGTGCCGTGCCGATGTCGAGTTGAAGCAACCCCCGACGTGCTCGCGTCGTGAATGAAGCAGGACGGGAGGTGTTTGGCCACTTTCGGTCCGTCGGGGCCCTCGCTGGGCCCCAGGACCTTCCAAAACCTACCCAGGACGAAAAACTGGTCTCTGGGAAAGGGTCGGGACTTCCGGGGACCGCGTAAGAAAAAACGTCGCACGTTTGGGACAGTAGCTAGAGGGTGCATCATGGAAGTGTCTGCTTCTCCTGGATGGAATGTATAACCGCGGATAGCGCTTGAAACAGCGCCCATAGCGCTCAATAGCGGCCATCGGCGCCCAAATAACGTCCAACTAGCGCCCAGGAGTGACCAATAGCGCCCAAAAGCGCACTGTTAGGGAGATGCTTCATGTCCGCTTTGCATGCGATTGGGCGCGCGATTGGGAGCCATGGGGTTGACCAAACGCTCCCATGAGTTCCATTCTAACGCTGGTGGGCCTTGGAGGGCCCACCCTTCGTCGCCACGGCTGGACGCAGCTTGTGACATTGGCGCGTTTGGACCCCGGGAGAAGTCTGTCTGGGGACCCCAGATCAGCCGATACATTTTTTTCGGGAGGCCCTTCACAGGATCCTGTCGCGACCGAAATACCGAACATCATCGCTCAAGACGGTTATCGAGCGCATTGCATGCACGATCGAAGTTGCGCTTGAGAAGCGGTAGCGCGCTGTCAAAATTGATTTCGGCGTTACCGGATTTGAGCGCGTCGTCGCTACTGAGCTTCGTTCGGTGCTACCGAGTTTCGTTTCGGAGCTACCGAATTTCCTTTAGATGGGCGTAACCGATTGCAGGGATGATGGTGATGCTGATGGTGATAACGACGGTGAGTATGATGAGGTTGGTGATAATGGTGATGAAGATGATGATGCTGATGATGATGATGATGATGATGATGGTGGTGGTGGTGGTGGTGATGATGATGATGATGATGATGATGGTGATGATGATGATGATGATGATGCTGCTGCTGCTGCTGCTGCTGCTGATGATGATGATGATGATGATGATGATGACGATGATAATGAAGGCGATGATGACGATGATAAGGATGAGGATGACACTGATGTGATTATGATGCCAATGAGTCCGTCGATGACGCTAATGGCACTGGCGACGGCGATGATGTCAGCGGGGGTGATTGCGGTTCTGATGATGCTATTGTTGATGGTCGTGCTGTTCATGGTGATGAAGGTGGTGATGATGATGGTAGCCATGATGATGAATACAATGATGATGGTGATGATGATGATGCTGATTCTGATGGTGAAGGTGGTGATGATGATGATGACGCCACCAGTAGCGTGCTGTAAATGCTGATGGTATTCCTGACGTTCCATGGTGAGGTCTGATTTTCCTCGACCTTACCTGACGTTTGCCTGACGTTTCAATTGTCAGGCAAAGGTCAGGCAACCGTCAGACAACGTAGGCATCGTGTTGAGTAGGATTAGCACCTACGTGTACTTATGTGTTCAGTAGCCATGAACAAATGATGGCAATGTCGTATTGTCATTCGTGATTCTGACTCATCGTAGCACTAACAGTGGCTCTCGTGATGACTGAGACACCAGCGGCATGCTGTGAATGCTGATTGTTTGGTTGAAGATGATGGTTATGATGATGGTACTGTTGCTGCTGATGATGATGGTGATGCTGACGGCGACAGTGATGATGCTGCTGATGATGAGGATGATGATGATGATGGTGATGATGATATTCACGTTACCGATGATCGTTTTCCCGCTACCGATTTTCTTTTCCCGCTACAAGATGTAATTTTCACGCAACAGATATGTTGTTTCCCCGCTACCGGATTTCACCCTCCCAAATTGGCATCTATTCGTTACTGTCCGACGCGACCGAAAATCTGGCATCCGGGCACGACTGAAAATCGGTGAGCGCCTAAACCGCTACCGAAAACAGCCGGTATCCGTTGATTTGGACACCGATTTTGAGCTGCTGTTGTCTCAACTCTCCCTGCTCCCGCCCCCAGTGCTCGAGGACGACGAGGGGGGAGGCAGGGGGGCAGATGTTTGGTAAGCTTCGGGCTGCGCACAGACAGCACCCCCAGGTAGTCCAGGCTCGCCTCCGCATGCCCCCCGATTGGTTCCAGCTGGCCTCAGCATGCCCCCCGTGAAGCCCAGGGCGGTCTTCTCACCACCCAGGCGCCGCCTCCGGCGGCGCCCCTGGGCCGCCGCCGCGCCACAGGGCTGAGGTGTTTAGACCGCCCTGGGTCACTCGGGGGGCCTGTGGAGGCCAGCTGGGAGACTGCTCGGGGGGCCAGCAGTCAGTTCTGGTGCCCCACGGCACAGTAAGGCGCTGCGGCATCGCAATTGCTCGCCTCCGGCGGCTGAGAGTACTAGTGCTAGTAGTCGTTGGTCGCCTAGGCAGTAGATAGTAGTCGTATGTAGTAGTGGTGGTATTAGTATTCGTACTCGCAGTAGTAGCAGTAGTAGCAGCAGCAGCATCAGTAGTAGTAGTAGTAGTAGTAGTAGTAGTAGTACTCCAAGTCGTAATGATATTAGTAGTAGTGGTAGTGGTAGTGGTAGTGGTAGTGGTAGTGGTAGTGGTAGTGGTAGTGGTAGTGATAGTGGTAGTGGTAGTGGTAGTAGTAGTAGTAGTAGTAGTAGTAGTAGTAGTAGTAGTAGTAGTAGTAGTAGTAGAAGTAATAAAAGTAGTAAAAGTAGTATCAGTAGGAAAATTATTATTAGTAGTAGTAGTAGTAGTGGTAGTAGTAGTAGTAG